TCGGCGTACTGGGCTTGAGAGAGGAAGAAGCCATGCTGATGATGTCGCACGCTGATGCCGAGGAAGTGGCGCACCGGCCCCATGTCCTTCACGGCGAAGGTGTCATGGAGTCGCTTGATGATGTGCTGGAGAAGACTCGTGGAGGACGCAGACACGATCATGTCATCCACGTACAGTAGGAGGTAAGTCGTGGCGCCATGGCGGTGGTACACGAAGAGCGACGTGTCCGCCTTGGACTGAACGAAGCCCAGTGTTGTCACATGACTGACAAAACGCTCGAACCACGCCCGTGGTGCTTGTCAGAGGCCGTAGAGGGAGTGCGACAGAAGACACACGTCGTCCGGCGCGCGCGGATCAACGAAGCCGGTGGGTTGTTGGCTGTACACCTGTTCCTGCAGATTGCCGTGAAGAAAGGCATTTGACACATCAAGCTGGTGAGCTGGCCAGTTGTAGGTGGCGATGAGCGTGAGGACGATTCTGATCATGGCCGGCTTGATCATCGGCGAAAATGTCTCGCCGAAGTTGATTCCAGGGCGTTGATTGAACCCACGGACAACCCATCGAGCTTTGTAGCGCTCAAGGGTGCCGTCAGGATTCAACTTGTGCCTAAAAACCCATTTTCCGGTGATGATCCGGGCGCCGGGTGGACGAGGAACAAGCTTCCAAGTCCTGTTCGCCTGTAATGCATGAAATTCTTGTTTCATCGCAGCATACCAATTGGGATCCTTGATTGCACTGCGTATGCTCTTGGGCATCGCTGAGATCGTCGATGTAGCCGCCATGGCGTACTTCGGGTTTGGTTTGTGAATGCCAGCCCGAGCTCGAGTGACCATGTGGTGACCAGGAGCTGTCGGCGCTGCAGTGGTGATGACGGGCGCTGCAGTCGTCGTGGACGGCGTTAAGCTGGGCGACGTCGTTCGCGTGGACAGCGTAGTAGTGGACGACGTCGAGCTTGGGGACGTAGTCGACGTAGAACGCGCGAAGCGCCACGGTGGGTGACGGCGTGCCCTGTACTACGATGGGCGACGTCGTGTCGGGAGTCGTCTGTGCGGTGGTCACCATGGGTGCTTGCACATGGCGCACAGTCCGGGCACGCCGTGGGTGCTGAGGTAGATGTGTCGGCGAAGGCGGTGGACTCAGCTGCCGTGTCGTGTCGTTGCCGTGGTGCGCGATCATCTGGTCGTCCCCAGCTGCTGATGACACATCAGGTGATGGCGTTGGCGCTTCGCGGAATGGGTAGACAGACTCGTCGAAGATCACATGGCGCGAAGTGATCACCCGGCCGGTGGCGAGCTCGAAGCAGCGATAGCCTCTGTGGTCTGCAGGATACCCAATGAAGACGCACTTTGTGGAACGCGCGGCGAGCTTGTGCGGCGATGTGGCGATCATGTTGGGGAAGCAGAGGCAGCCAAAGACCCGGAGTTCATCGTAGGAGGGCGACACACCGAAGAGCAGGTTGTACGGTGTCATGGTGCCAGTAGCTCGGCATGGACGCCGATTGATCAGTGCGTCGCCGTGGCCAACGCCTCGGCCCAGAAGGCAAGTGGTGCTACACTATGGATTAGTAGAGTTCGTATACAATCATTCACAGTGCATAAAATGCGTTCGGCCTTCCCATTTTGCTGTGAAGTATACGGACATGAGAGGCGTAGGTGAATGCCAAGGGAGGAGAAAAGGAGACGCGAGGCCGTGGAGTCATATGCACGACCATTGTCTGTTTGAAATGCAACAATAGGTAAACGGAATTGAGTGTGTACGTATGAAATGAAAGCACGGATAGTGGGAAGAACATCAGACTTGTTTCTGAGTGGAATTGTCCACAAGTAGTGATTGTAATCATCTAAGAAAATGACATAGTATTTATATCCCGAATGACTCAAAACAGGAGATGTCCAAACGTCGGAATGGATTAATTGAAAAGGGAAAAAGCTTTGTGATGTAGATTCAGCAAAGGGAAGACGAACATGTTTCCCAAGCCGGCATGCAGAACAAGAGTGAGCATCAGACTTATTACAATGAAATGGAAAAGAACTCAAAATCTGATCGGTGATGGGGTGTCCCAGCCGTTGATGCCACAAGGGAATTGTTGATGATGCGGTGAATGCTTGATGTTGGGGAAGACGGAGGGGATAGAGGTCGCCACCGCTCTCACATCAGAGCATCTCCGCCCTGGAAGTAAGAGCCTTGATAGAAAAACCAGAGGGGTCAAACTCGATTGAAACATTGTTATCACGAGTTAAGCGGCGCACACTGATCAAATTTTTGATGAGATGAGGGGAAACAAGAACATCATTTAATGTGTAGAGGAGAGGTGGCAGTAGGAATGATGGCGTGCGCTTGGTGTTTGACAGGCAACCACGCACCATTACCTACTGTGATGGATGAAGATGATGGTCGAAGAGAGGAGGATGGAAAATTACCAGGGGATGACGACATGTGGGAGGACGCGCCGGTGTCGAAGTACCACTCCGACGCGTTCAGTGGGTGGTGTGGGACACCGGCGTTCGGAAGGGCGGCGTAGAGGGCGCTAGGGTCGAATGCGCTGCCGGGTGGAGCTGCGGTCATGTGTGTCGCCGTCATCGCCTGCTGAGGAAGGAACAACGGACGGGGGCCCAGAACGCCTGCTCCTGGGGCGCGAAAAGGCATGGGCCAGGCTTGCACCATGCCTTGCCAAGGGTTGTAGCCCGCGGCCCATGGAGCGGACTGTGCGTTGGGGTTGTTGGAGTTCCCTGAGCGCGGCGCGCCACCGTTGCCGCGCCCACGTCCACGCCGCCAGTCCTGACGGTTGTTGGAACGGCCATTGCCGCTGTTGTTGGAGCGGCCGTTGTTGGTGGAGGAGGAGGATCCGTCCTTGTGGCCGCCGGACGCCGGGTTGGAGGAGGCGTTGCTGATGTCGCCATGAGTCGCAGCAAGTGCCTGGCTGGACTCCACGTTGGCGTCGTGTTCCACGCTGAGCTCCTCGAGGATGAGGAAGGAGCGCGCGGTCTGGAAGGTGTGTAGCGGGTACTTCGACGTGATCACCGGTTTGACGTAGCGGTACCGGGGATTGAGGCCGCGGAGAAGATTGAGCACCTAGCTTGGCTCGGAGACATGATGGCCGATGTTGCGGAGTTGGTCGGCGATCCGCTTGAGCTGGGTGCAGTAGGCGTTGATGGACATGTCCCCTTGCTGCAGGGAACGCAGTTCGGTTTCCAGGTAGACGGCGCGCTGCATCTCGTTGTCCTGGAACAACCCCTCGACGGCGTGCCACAGCGAGAACACGTCGTGGCGATCGCGGCGGACGATGTCGAACACGCCTTTGGAGACGGTGGCGAGGATCCAGTTGACGACGCAGTGATCCACCCCGCGCCACTCGCCATCGTGGTCATCGTCAGGGGTGGTGGAGTAGATGTGGCTCTCGAGCCCGAACTTGCCGAGAGTGGAGTCGAAGAAGTGTCGCCATTGGCCGTAATTTCCATCGTCCATGTCGAGGATGACAGGGACATGATGGCGGATCGAGATCCCTTGGATGGCGGCGGACGAAGCAGGCGCGCAGAGAAGCCCCCATCGGGTGACGAGGAGTTGGAGACGCCGGATTGGTTGGAGGCAGGCGCCATCGGAGCAGCGGAAGAAGAATATGGCTGAGGGATTCTAGAGAGAGACCGTGGACTATGATACCATGAAAGAGTATGTAGATCAATTGGACGAGTTGCATTGATCTTGTGTGTGTACATATATAGTATACAATCAGTGGCCGTGGCCACTCTAGCGCATGCGTGAGCGGGCTTAGCGCAGAAGCGTGGGCGCCGCAGTGACCGGGCGCGCATGCGGCGTGTGGAGCACGCTCTGCGGATCTTGACGCGGCGAGTGCGGCATAGGCGTTACAAGGCATGCATACTAAAGATAGGCGGGCTCTAGCCGTTGTTGAGGCTGGTCCGCTGCTCTCATGCCTATACGAGCTAGAGTAGTGTGTGTCCACGCACGTTACATAATTTAAATTCAAGATGAATGTATGACGCTATCATTGAATAAATCTTCAAGCAGCAAATCTACCATGCTGGCGTAAAATAAGCTTTACATCCAATTGCAATAAATGGAGACAGAGTGGATTCATTTGGATGTCAAACTATTAGATTAGTGGTATGGGCTCTAGCTCACAGCTCTATGCAGAATCTGGTGTTTGTTTAATAAAATAAAATATCTTAAACTTCTAATTTTAATCTAAAAAAAAGAACAAGGTGACTAAGCAAAATACTCTCGATCAGCCCACAACTCCAGCTCTACAGATTTCTAGAGCCAGAAATGACTAGCTCTAGCTCTACAAATTTGTAGAGCTGTACCAAACGCATATAGAGCTGTACCAAAAAAGAACAATAGTGTCGTTCCGTTAAATATGTAGTGAAAATTAAGAAATTAACATCTATTGGGACTTCCTCACACTATAACCATGTGGAGTTGGACTGACTTGAATACAGGGGCGGATCCAGAACGGGGCTGCGCCCCGGCTGAGCTGCTGATTCACGTTCAAAACAGTCTGATCTTGCTTCCTAGGCCTCCTTTTGTCTAATTAAGGTCATAGTTTTTTAGGCTAAACACCACATATGTTACAGGGGCTACATGGACTCGCCCCGGGCTGCAGCCCGGGCAGCCCGGGCCCTGGATCCGCCCCTGCTTGAATATAACCCACCTAATGCCATCCATCTCCATCTCCCTATCCCATACCACATGAGTATCCAAACGCCACCTAAGATTGAACATGCATTCTTGTATACAGAGGTTTCAATTGTAAAAATATATTTAACACAAAATGAAATGGATATCATCAGTAGTTCAGAAGAAAGTAAACTGAGCAAATCAAATCTTTTCAAATGCTCAAGCACAGTTGTTAAACTTACATGTTACATCGAGGTTGCAGATATTTGAGATGTGAGTGACACATGACAATTTCTATTGAGTGTCTCCTCTTCAAATGAAGTTGAACATGACAAGCAATGATCTTTAAATCTATATAGTGTCTAAACTTAACTTATATGCTCAGGATCATCCCAATGCAGACCATCAATCAGTACATCATACTTGTGATCCATATGTGACTGCAAGCAATCAAGAATAACCAGGACATTGTTTACCTGGCTCTTTGATCTGTTTTCTGCTGTGAAAGTATAAACTTTATTGCCAACTTCTATCCAACTGCACCCGGTGTTTGTTTTCAGCCCTCTCTCCTTCATCACCTTCCTCACTCTTGCCACATCATCCCAGCAGCCAATGCTCCCATACAAATTCGCTAGCTGGACATGAGTTGCAGCACAACTTGGTTCCAGCTTTAGACGGTGCTCTGCAGCTTGTATGCCGATCGAAATGCTTCCATGCACCCTACAGGAAGCTAGCAGGGAGCCCCATATGACACCATTTGGAGGCATGGGCATTGTCTGGATCAGATCCCATGCTTCATCAAGCAGCCCTGCACGGCCAAAAAGATCGACCATACATGAGTAGTGATCTATCTCTGGTATTACTCCATGTTCAATCATTGCCCTGAAGCAGCGTCGGCCCTCAGCCACAAGGCATGCATGCCGGCATGATGAGAGCACGCCTAGGAAGGAGATTGCATCCGGTATTATGTGCCCTTCCATTTCTTTAAGCAAGCCTAGGCAATGCTCAGCAAGGCCATGCTGTGAATATCCAAAGATCAAGGAGTTCCATGAGACGAGGTCCTTGCATGTAATGCTCTCAAATACAGTTTGTGCTTCACCAATACTCCCGCACTTTGCATACATTGATATCAGTGCATTGGACACATGCACATAGGAATCAAAACCCATTCTCATCTGTAGGGCTTGCACACTTTTACCAAGTACAAGAAATGCATGATTAGTGCAGACACTGAAGATAGTTGCAAATGTGATGTCATTTGGCTTGCACACAGACTGCCTCATCAGTGCAAATAAATGGAGACATGGTTCGACCTGATTATCCTGGGCATAGCCAGAAATTAATGCAGTCCATGTCACAGTATTTTTTGCTGTCATATTTTGGAAAACCCGGTGAGCAATGTCCAATTGGCTGCATCTTGAATAAAAACTGATCAGCGAGCTGCCAATGGGGATAGATGAGACGTATCCTACTTTCACTAGTAGAGCATGGAATTGTACACCTGCGGTAAGAGTTTTCCCATCAGCACAGTAACTCAGTGCAGATGCCAAAATAGATGCATCTGAACTGATTTGTCCCCTCCTATGCAACTCCACAATTTGCATAAACATGTCCTCCTTTGTGAGTCTAGTTATGGAGGGGCAAACTGAGGTATTATTTGAGACAATGTTACTGCGTTCAGGCTGTGCTTGATTTGAGCTTGAGTTAGCAAAGCTCTCTTTACCCTTACGCATAACATGCAGTCTTGATTGTACTCCCAAGATGCCACCCATACAGCCATTGATAAGACGGTGATGCGACAGAACTTCCTCTTGGTCATGATGATGCTTGGATGGTACAAGGTCCAAAACTCTCAAAGCATTTTGAAGGTTGGTACGCCTTTGCTTTCTTGATCTCTCAAGTGTTGGGGATGTGCCAAAATTTGCCACAACTAGATGAATAGTTGCAGCCACCGCTGGCATAACAGCATGGCATTTGAGATGACAGTGGTAGAAGAGATGTCTGTGCATGTCAGCAGTGGACCATCAAGAAAAATTCCCATGGGTGTGCACATTCCACTGGCGCAAACAAGTTTGATTTTATAGTATAACTGCATCATAAATTCAGTAAAGTTAAGTCAAACTGTCAAAAATTAGGCTAATTGTGCTAGGCTATAATTGTTTAAAGCAAAAGTATCAAACAATCTTCCATGGCTAGAAAATTACAAGTATTCTACGAAAAATTAGAGCATCGCACAATATTGTTTCATGTAATTTCAAAATGCTTTGGATAAGATCTGAATACAAATAGCTTAACAATACTATGTCTCTAATACAATCACAGAATAGTTAGTTGCAAAAGACAGGGTGGAGGAGATAGATCTGTTTTTTTTTTCCAGAACACACTAGCGCAAGTTCCTGTAGGATACCAGAGACTTCTACGTGGCATTCATACGCTGAATCACAAATTCATACTTCCCATCACTGATTACTCACCAGAGACGCAGCGCAGCAGTAGCACTTAGCAGAGGCATAGCAGCAGGAGAAGAGGCAGAGCACTAGAGCAGCAGTGGCAGCGGCGGCCAGAAGGCACTGGTCACTGAGCAGGGGCGCTGACAGCCCGACCACGCTGCAGCTGCGCAGCCGCCGTGGAGGATGGGGACGTGCGGTGCAACCGCCCAGCGGAGTCCAGTTCCGGCGGCACCGCAGCGCGACGTCAGCGCTCAGAGGGAGCTGGGATCAGGAAAGACGGGGCGGCATCGTCTCGTCTGACAGCATTGGCCTGTCTGGGACTCGTTGAATCAAAGTTGGCTTTCTACCACAGCAGCTAGTGGGGTGAAGGCGCGATGGGGGCGGAGGGAGGCGGCGGCGGAGGACCGATGGGGGCGGAGGGAGCCGGCGGCGGAGGACCGTGGGGAGGAGATCGGTGACGGCAGAGGACGACCCGACGGTGGCGCGTGGTGGAGGGGCGGTGGGACGGAGTAGGGAGAGGAAGGGAAGGGGCGGGGCGGGCGGCCCGGAGGCGGAGCAAGAGCGACGGCGCGAAGGATAGCGGTCGGGCGGAGGAGCAGGGAGAGAAGAAGAGTAGCCTGGGTCAAACTTCGAAGCCCATAACCACCCTTTGCGGGCTTTTGGCCCAGCTCTCCAAACAATTGCACCGTAAAGGACAAAGGAAAAGGAGGATATAGCCGCCTACGGCAACCTCGATAAACCCAGTCCCATAGACCGCAAAGACACAGCCCCACCAGTCAGGTATTCACGCGCGCCGAGGCTCCCGTCCCCCACCGCAACCCGTGCACCGGGTCCATGCTAACCCCTTCACCGGGGCGGCGAAAGATCTCAGCCGCGACGGGCTAGAGCGCCGGCGAGCGCTCGCCCACCCGGTCCTATAAACTGGCCACGGCTCCTCCTCTCGCGTCGCAGAGCCCAGCCTCGGGATGACGTGGCGTACCGCGACACCACCACGCCTCGCTCAGCCCCACAGGTCTCCGACCAACCCCTTCTAGAAGCTTTCAAACCCTAGCGCGGGAGGAAGAGGAGCGTGGAGGAGCTCCAGGGATGGCGAAGGCGAGGAAGCAGAAGGGTGACGGTGGCGGTGCAGGCGGAGGCGCCACCGTGCTCCACCAGAAGCTCTGCCTCTCCATCGACATGGAGAACCAGCTGATCTACGGGTGAGCCGCGCCGCAGCTTTAACTGTGCCGAAGTAGCTGCGATCCTCTCCCCTGGTGCGCGCGCCATGACCTTTTGTGCGGGTTTAGCAGTTTTTCTGCGCTGTTTAGCGGGTGATGGGTTGAGGCGCGAGGATTAGGGTTTGGAGCTCGAGGTGGAGCAGGGCGTTTATGCTGCGAGCGTTTGCGCTTTGTGTGTTGGAGTTAAAATGCTTTGTCTGATTTGTAAGACATATGACTCAATTTGTTTGCTGTTAATCAGTTATCGGATTTGATAGTGCAATGTCATTGCTGGGTACTGACTGAAGTTGATGCTACTGCCTGAGTAGTGAGCTGTACAATGTGATTACTTAATAATGTCTGGTGAAGCTTTGGTCGTCAACTTGTGCTTGGCAACTCATTTTGGGCTGTATCGTAATTTCAAATTCTATTAATTGCATTATTAACTGTTTGTACCTGTGCAACAATTTTTTCCTCGAGGTTTGAATTTCTGTGAAGCTTCGTTGTAAGCTGAAAGAGCCAATTTATCATTGTGTAAACCATGAGCTGTCTCCGTTGCCATCGTGCTAAACAATGAGCTGCATTTTTTGTAAATCAAACCTTAAATTATTTTTTGAAACCTGACTGGGACGCATTTGACTTGCTGCTGTGCTACATTTGATAGACACTGTAGTATCTAAATCCCTGTGAATTCAGGCCTTTTTGTAAACTCTAGATTTTTTTTGAAGTAGTAGTGCTTTGTTTTCACTGTGTTAACAAAAGGTAGCTTTTCCTCAAAAAAAAAAAAAAAAACAGACAGAAGGTATCTTTAGCTTTCTCCATTTGAAATTAGTTCATTTGATTTGAGTAATCTAATGTAGAATTTTTTGAAAATATATACATATTTGTATTTATTATTTGTCACTTGTCAGAAAAGTGAGTATAATTCCTTGTAGTTCTTGTTAAGACAATATTAGTGAATTTAGTAAAGGAGCTGGTGGAAATTGCAACCTTTGTTTGCGGTTGTAGCCTTTGATAACTTCAAGTGTTGGCCTATGTGTATCATAGTAGCTTGACACTGTTGGCAAGTCATTATAGTTGTCATTATTCTCCCAGGGAAGTTGCAGTTTAAGTTATTCTGCTAGATTCAACATTTGAATGCACTTTCCACTTTTCCATTGCATTATGCTCTTTAGTTAATGGGGCAAAGGATGCCAACTACACAAATTGGATTGGAAGCAACCTGTTCTTTTGGTGAATTGCATTTAAGCTATGTACAAAGTAACAACATGTGAGAACATATACATGCCTTCTGCATTTCGTTCGATGATGTGGTTACCTTTTGCTGTGTTACTCATTGATGTCTGTTTTTTTAACAATACAAAGGGTATAGGACCACTAAAATGATTATTAGAGACCAGTCTGGATGAACTTCACTCTATGTGCTGACAATATGACTGTGGGAGGCTGACAACTTGTTTTTGGTCCATTCATTAAGGTACACTGAGATAAAAGTTCTAGCTGAAAACGACACATTTGCTCTACATGCTGACAATATGACGATCAGGAGCATTCTGGTGGATGGTGAAACTGTTGAGTTTGACTATTCCCCTCATTGGAAAAATGAAAGTGATCAACCTAATTGGTCTTCAATATCATGTTTGAAGACTGCTGCTGATGCTGCATGTTCAACGTATACTTCGTCTCTAAATCGAGAAGCTACACCAAATCTTATTGTGTCATCTGAGAGATCAGTCAAGTCAATGACTGAGCAGCAGTTAGATGAAAACAGTGAAAAGCATGAAGAAAATAGTGGAAGGCTTGAACAACATGGTGGAAAGCCCGTTCAAACTTCCTATGATCAAATTGTTAATGGCTGCAATGGTTCTGCAGTGGAAGAGGGAATAGAAAATTCTGCAGTGGAAGAAGGAAAAGAAAAAGAAAAGGAAAAGGAAAAGGAAGAGGAAGAGGAAAATGGAAATGAGAAGAGCAAGGAAAATGGAAATGAGTCTGAAAATGAAAAGGTAGAATGAATGTGTACACATTATTTATCAGCTATTTATGTATTATTAGACATGCGCAGACATGATACTTTCGTTAACATATTATAGGTGAAGAACATAAAACTGGTTCACATAGATTATATTTTGGAGAAGGCTGAAACTGGCATTCACTTCGTTGGCAATGTCATGCATAGCAGTAGTCAGATAAGGCGGGCACACTGTTGGTTTCCTTGTGTTGATAGTTCCACACAACGCTGTCCGTAAGTTAAATTTATTCTTTCCTGCTTTTGTAAATCCTGGTATAATATTTGCCTTTGCATGTTAATAATTCTCTTTATACCATGTTATGCCCAGATTTGACCTAGAATTTACAGTTAGCACAGATTTCATCGCTGTCAGCAATGGTGACTTGCTTTACCAGGTATGCGTTCAATCTTGATCAAGAGGTCTAGAGAGAAAATATTAAATTCCTTGTTTTGGAAGAACCGACTTTTGTGAAGTAACAAGGAGGCTCTTTTAGCTTTAATTCACTTGGTATTACAGTTCGTTTTTCTGTGTGTAAATGTTACATGATGTTCTCTTTTTGTACTGTTTCCTGATCTTGGAAGGTCTTTCTCTTTCACATTCTGCTCGTGCTACATCATGCAGGTCTTAAGTAAGGAAGATCCTTCAAAAAAAACTTATGTGTATAAATTGAACACTCCAGTTAGTGCACAGTGGATATCCTTGGTTGTTGGTCCGCTTGAAGTTCTCCCTGACCAAAATGACATAAATGTTTCACACATCTGTTTATCCCCTGCTTTGGCAAAGCTTCAGAACACTATTGCATGTTTCCACGATGCATACAGGTGCTGATCAATCATTTTTGTGAAAAGTGCTTAGTTTGTGTTGGTTTTATTAGTATCTGAATAAGCTTCTTTTTTTGATTGATTTCTGAAATTTGCGTTTTGTTTGCAGGTGTTATGAAGACTATCTTGCTGCACCATTTCCCTTAGGTTTATACAAGCAGATTTTTCTTCCATCTGAAATGACTGTATTACCAGCAAGCTTAGGAGCCTCCACGTGCATCTTCAGTTCTGATATCTTGCATGATGAGAAGGTTATAGATCAGGTGCGTGTGTTTCTCTTACTTTACTCCCCCGTCCCCTTTGAGGTTGACCAAAAAATTTGACGCCATACTTTTTCACGAGATGCGAATGTGTCGCTGCTATAGCATGTGCTTATCAATTGTGGTAATTCTCTATTTAGCTATTTTTCTTGTTAGCTGTTGTTTTTGAGCTCCCCTTGCCCACTGAGAGCATTTAGCATCAGTAATTCTACTCCAGTATTTTTGTTTTAACTAAGTTAGATTCTGCTGTAGATGCCTGTATGGCACTACATGCTTGTTAACTTGATCAATTAGTTTGGTACCTCCAGCAGATACTGTAAATATGTTTGGAATATGTCAAATACTTCTGCATGTTTGCATGCCTTGTATTTTGTATTTTTGCTGTCATGCTTTGGATAGGAATGCATGAAAATCTGCAATCCATGTGCCTGAATCATGATCTGCTATTACTTTTACTTTTTCTTACTAGGCATTTACCTTGCTTCTTTGTATCCCCTTAACTAGTGGCTTGGTAACGCTTTCTACTAGGCATTAACCTTGCTTCTTTGTATCCCCTTAATTAGTGGCTCTTGGTAATGCTTTGTGTACCTGTATTCCATTATAGTAAGGAATTATGTTTTTCTTCATAACTTGCACTGGCTAACTTGTAAAATAGTTCAGATAATTGGCACAAGAATCAAACTGGCTTATGCCCTTGCAAAGCAATGGTTTGGAATATACACAAGTGCAGAGGAGCCCAATGACGGTAATTCATCTCTAGCTGTTCATTCATGTAGGTATTACTTATTATTACATAGGTAAAACACTGTTGCCAAACAATTTCCTGCATGAACAGAATGGCTGTTGGATGGTTTGGCTGGTTTTCTAACTGAGTTGTTTATCAAGCGGTACCTTGGGAATAACGAAGCGCGTTATAGGCGTTTCAAGGTTCGTCTTTTACCAAAAGCATATGTTACTCTGATTCTTGTTATCGCTGAATGATCAATTATACGGTAACTTATTCTATGGCCATTTGGATTTACCATAACGATTTGGCATGAGATTCAATGGGATCATTTAGATTTGTTTATCATTTTAGTTTTTTTTCACGCAGGAGAGCTGTGTGTCTTTGTCCTATAGAGAGAGGATGGGGAAAGAGCCCTGTACAAAGCAACCTCCCAACCTCATGTAGAGGTAAAACGAGGTTGATAAGCATGAGATGACATGCAGCTCTCCTGCGCCATTCAAGAAAAAAAATACAGTTTTGAGAATAATCGCTTGTTAAATCATAATAAGGCCTCACCCTACACATGACTAGCAAATAATTTTTGGAGCTTTCTAACTGCCAAGCAAATACACAAACATTTAGGATGTGCTGCACCGTTTCCTCTTCTTGATCAGACAACACACTTCTCTAGATGTGGGAGTCCCCATTTATTGAATTGCAGCGAAAGGACCTCTAGTAGGTGGCTTGAGTAGCACTTCTCAGGTCGTGGGTTCAACTCCTCGTGGGAGCGAATTTTAGGCTGGGGTTAAAAAAAGGAAAAAGTCTACATAACCCCCTGACGTATTGAGGGTGGTCTACATAACCCCCTAAACTATGAAACCAGGTATTTTACACATGAAACTTTGTAAAACCGGACAAATAACCCCCTGAGTGGTTTTGCTAGGTGGTTTTGCATATGTCAGCGCTCCACGCTGTCTACTTTGATGATGTGTGGCCTCTAGGGCTCTTGGCAGCGTGCGGGAGGGGAAAAAATCGCAATTTTTTCGTTTCTAGGTGGGACCGTGAGAGGCCAGCGGCAGCGGAGCATCTTGCGGCAGCCAGCGGCTGCCCATCTTGCCTTGCGGCGGCAGCCAGCTGCGGTCAGGGGCGGCGGGTGGCTGCGGCTGCGGCCAAGGGAGGCGGGCTGCGACGGGTGACGCGGCTGCGGCAGTCCTTCGGTGGCCAGGTTAGAATGCCACGTAGGCAAAACCGGATGCCAAAACCACTCTAGGGGGTTATTTGTCCGGTTTTACAAAGTTTAATGTTTACAATACCTGGTTTTGTAGTTCAGGGGGTTACGTAGACCACCCTCAATATGTCAGGGGGTTATGTAGACTTTTTCCTTAAAAAATTGCCCTCGTCTGTCCCACGCCAAAGCATAGGTCTAAGGCCTGGCCCCGGTCGCTGTTGTTCTCACATGGGCTAGGGTGTCACTGTGTGAGAAGGTTTTCTTGTTAATGCAATGTTTGGGGGCTGTCTTACCCCCCGTAGGTTGAGTTTTCTTTTTATTGAGTTGCATGCAGTTACAAGTTCAAACCAAAAGCTTAAGCTGATGGGGAAGGTGGGCAATTCACTTTATATTTCAAGAAACCCCCTCACGTTGAGGCTCCCTATGTGGAATAGGAGTAGGCAGCAATTATTTCATTTAATTTAATCAAGATTCGAACTCGAGACTTCTGGCTCATGCACTGACCAGTTTAACCCAAAAGCTTAAGTTTATGGGGAATGTGGGCAATTCATTTTATATTTCAACACTTGCGCTAGGCAACCTGCAGTCCAGCATTTGTTCCGGACTGCTAGCCATAAGAACACCTTGCATTTGGTTGGAGCCTAAGTTTTGCATAATCGCTTCCAACAATTAGTCTAATCACATAAAAACTTTATAATACAAAAATGGTTACATTGGATTTGTATTTAGAAATACTTTCTAATGGTCATACTTTTGTTGCCACAAATTAGAAGAACTAATAGTCAAAGTGTGATCTTTAAGATCACACCAAGTCAAATCATGCCTTATATTTTGGGACGGAGGGGTATATTTTAATAATGCAAAAGGTGCTATGAAGGTAATGATCTTTGTGATGCCATTGTTATGTTAATAATTGATATTTAAGTAGCATTTGGACCAGATAGTTCTTGAGGTAGGTTTCATGCGTGCTCTTCAATTACATATTGGTCAGAAGGGAAAAACATTCAGGTGTCATTTGGATAGTGGGAAATGGTGGGTGGGGACAGGATACAAGGGGGTGGGTTAAATGACAAATGATCTAAACCCATGTTTTGCAACTGGGAATGAGATATACTGTAGCATAGGGTAATAAGACTTATCCCACCTATCTAAAACCAGTTGTAGAGGCAGGTTATGGGAGCTGGGTGTGAACTTACCCCTCCGCACGAGCTCATGATGACACCCACTGCACACCACCACTTGATGTGCTCCTGCGCTTGTTGTAGAACGCAGCCCACTTTGTCTTGTGCAGGAAGTAGCACACTGCCCATCTCCATAAGGTTTGGTTATCATTGGGCACACTGCTTCATTGGATCCCACCGCTGCCAGGTTTGGGTATCATTGAGGATCGCCCTCCTTCAATGCCTGCTGCAGCTACTGTCCGGTTCCGTTGATCACATGCTGTCTGCCACCGCTCCCACAGTTGACCTTGCTGCAGCTCGTGCAGCACGGCCTGCTGGCTCCTGCGCTTACGCCTGCATTAAGTCACGCTCAAGGCTGCATAGGCCCAGTGCTGCTTCTGTGGGTGGATAGTGAGTTTTAATTTGTGGATAGCGAACTTGGATGAGAGTAGTTGAGATCTTGATGGGGGTGTACTACTTATTGCTTACCAAAAGGGGTATTTTTGTCTTTTAGATACTCATCCCAATCCCTTACTGATCATCCACACAAAAGGAATGGACGACAAATACATATCCTTATCACAATTCGAGTAGTCCATATGCTAGAACTCTACCATATCCCATTCCAATGGTGAATCCAAACACCACCTTATCATAGGTTTATTGAGGATTGCGTATCAATTTGTGGTTTTCATGTAGCAATAATTCCTTCTGCCATGCATATATACATTCATTAACTAGATCATTGAATATCATTATTATTTTTATAAGAATTGAATATCACTATTCTTTTGTATTTGTAATAGGCTAACTGCACAGTATGTGAGTCTGATGTTAGTGGTGCAACTGCTTTGAGCTCTACTGCTGCTTCAAGTGATTTATATGGAACTCAAACAATCGGTTCATATGGGAAAGTTCGATCGTTGAAAGCTGTAAGTTTTGAGCATTTCAAGTACACTGGTCTATATATATTCTTCTCTCAATTTTTTCTCTTGAATTTTGAACAGGTAGCTGTTCTTCAAATGTTGGAGAAGCAGATGGGGCCAGACTCCTTTCGGAAGGTATTTTCATCTTTGATACAGCTATTTGTTCTATAGATAACTTTTATCTACATAATTGCAACACTTTGACTAAGCAACTGAATCGATGCGGACAATTACAGGACTATTCATGATAGGAGTTACTGCGTGTGTGTGTGTATGTGTTTCTTGCTTGTCCTTTTCGGTCTAGGCTCAGAGTATTTTTTTTTTCTCTTCTAGTTAGTTCCCTAACTTGTTTTTTCTCACCCCTCACGGCTTGGCCCGGAGTGAGGTGGTGATCTTTGTACGGGGCCATTTTTTCCTCTCTTAATACAAAGGTACGCAGCTCTCCTGCGTATTCGAGGAAAAAAAGGAGTTGCTGTGTTTCAGATACTAATCATCCCTTTTTTTCATCTATATCCATAGTTGAAAATTCTAGATAATATCTAGGTAGGAGCAAACTACCTATTGGCTGTTTTTTGTACCTGGTTATTTCTTAATTGAAGATTATCCATATATATAGATTACTTCTGATAGGCTTCAATTGTTCCCAATTTCAGATTTTGCAGGTGATAGTGGCTCCAAATCGTGCCTCTAGAACACTTAGTACGAAAGAGGTATAACAAATTGCCAGCTTTTCCATCCCCCTCCACCTTTTGTTAGCCTTGAGTCTATATGAATATTAATTTAGTATAAGGGTAGAATAGGATGAGATGAGTGCCCCACAATTATATTCCCTATTTCCCTAAAATGTTTGTAGGGATAAAGTAACTTTCATTTGTAATCAAGGTAGAGTTTGTATCGTGGGCTAGAACTGCTTTTAAGTTGTACTGAGCACTAGCATAGTATTAGCCTATGCTGATGGATGTGGTATGTGGTGTTACTTATGACAGTGTTAATCTATATATAGATAATCTTCAATTAAGAAATATAGGGTCCTTTATTTCCCTCAGTTACATTGTTGTGTACTAATGTGGTGTTTATGCACTCTTTTATATTACCTATTTATACTGTTGAACAAAACAAATGTAATATGATTAGCTGTAAAATTGACGCAGAATTGTTATTGTTTTACTTCCTCTTATTCAGTTCAGGCACCTTGCAAATAAGGTCGGTAACCTCGAACGCCCATTCCTGAAAGAATTCTTTCCACGGTGGGTTGAATCTTGTGGATGTCCAATTATGAGGTAAAAGAAATTATTTGTTGTTTTCATGTATCCAGTTTTGACATTCTTTTATTCATTATCTCCTTGTACTTAATATCATAATCATTCTGCTTGGAAGATTGGGAATCTCATATAGCAAAAAACGGAATATGATTGAATTAGCCGTTTCAAGGGGTTGCACAGCAAAAGCTACACCAGATCCTGATAGTCACACCAACGGTGACCCTAGAGAAGGCGATGCTGGATGGCCAGGAATGATGAGTGTACGTGTTCATGAGACTGACGGGGCGTATGATCATCCAGTTCTGCCAATGGCTGGTGAAGCTTTACAGGTGGTGGAAATACAGTGTCATTCCAGACTAGCAGCAAAGCGCGTTTGGAAATCGAAAAAGAACACAAAACTTGATGGTTCTGATGACAACATAGATGTCTCTACTCAAGAGAACCGCACAAGGTATATTTCCACTTGCCTTTTATTCATTTTTACCATTTATTTTATATCTCACTTACATTGCTGACATGTGCAGCGTGGATTCACCTTTGTTGTGGATTAGAGTAGACCCGGAGATGGAATATCTTGCTGAGATCCATTTTCACCAGCCAGTTCAGATGTGGGTGGGTGTTACCAACTTACCATATAAACCTAATTTTTTATTGACTGGCAGCAGTCCTGTGTTATCATCTGCATGAAATTGATACTTATTGCTGAAGATGGTGTTGGACACATGGAGTAAGTTGATGCTGAATAATTTCTGCTAAGTCAGTCTTGGTGGTTTAGGACGTTTAACCAGGAGAAAAGTTCTCCCCTACTCTACTTACTTTGATAATGTACCAAATTTTGGTAATGAAGATCCAGCTATAAGATGTTCTTGTATATAAATAATTTTCTAGACGTCAGGAACACTGAGGGGGTGTTTGGTTTAAGGAATAGGCTAATCCATCTCGTTTTTTTTTCTCGAAAACGCAGGAGAGCTGCGCTTCATTAAATTAAGAAGAGAATAAAGGGCAAGAGCCCAAACAACACCTTACACACCACACACACACGCACACACCCCAGTTTCTAGGATTACACTCTCGCCGTTGACATAAACACACAAGACGACCACTATTGAGTTAGACACTCTAACTACCGGGGAGGAGGGCAGTCAGGAAAGATAATCCTCGAGCCCCTGCCATAGACCACAAGCGGCGTTCCTCGCCAGCTAAAATCAGAGCACCAGCTAAGCTTGGAGCTGCTCCATCGAAAACACACCCATCGCGATGGTTCCAAATAGTCCATGCTCCAAGTATAATAAGCGAATTAACTCCTTGCCTTATCAGCCCATCAGCGGTGCTGCTGCTAGCTTTCTCCCACCAAGCATGGAAGGACAACTCTGTAGGCTGAGGGGACAGAATCTGAAGACCGACCTGTCTGAGCAGAATGAACCAAAATTCTCTTGCGAACACACAGTGGACAAGGAGATGGTCAATAGTCTCTTCTTCTTGGTCACAGAGAGGACAATATTTAGGATGAGGCAACCCGCGACGTGCCAGGCGATCAGCCGTCCAGCACCTGTTGTGCGCGACCAGCCACATAAAGAAGCGACACTTAGGCGGTGCCCAAGATTTCCAGATTCTTTCCCATGGTCCAAAGCGAGTAGAACCCAAAAAAAACCCATCATATGCCGACTTAGCCGAGTATTGTCCGTTTGAGGAGAGCCTCCATATGTGTCTATCCTCAACCTCCGGCTGCAGCTGAAAATCCATCAATAAACCCCATAATTGGAGAAATTCCACCAACACACCTACTGTACGAGCTCCCTGAATGTCCGAAATCCAAGCATGGTTAGTGAGAGCGTCCTGGACAGTGCGCTGCTTAACCCTCCTCTTGGGAATAGCTCCGAAAAGGCGAGGGGCAAGGTCTGCAATGCATTGCCCATGGAGCCACCTAGCTGTCCAGAAAATAGTATTTGCACCATCTCCAACTATAGAATTCACAGCTACAGAGAAGAAGGCTCTCACTTGCTCAGGCACATGTAATGGGAGAGCAGCCCAAGGACGATGAGGTTATGTTTTCTGCAGCCAAACCCATCTCATGCGCAAGGACCAGCCAAGAGACTTGAGATCTGAAATTCCCAGACCTCCCAGCTCCGGTGGTCGACAAACTTTGACCCAGGCCACCAGACAATGTCCACCTTTTGCATCTTTATGGCCTCTCCAAAGAAAACCGCGCCGGATTTTATCCACCGCTTTGAAAGCCCATGTAGGAAAATCAAAGGCCATAGCCAAGTAAATGAGCATCCCAGTAAGAACAGATTGTACTAGTACCCTTCTTCCAGCCCTTGTCACTAGATCTGCCTTCCAACTAGGTAGTTGATCTGCAATGCGGTCAATAATGGGCTGCACTTGTTCTTTAGTTAGTTTTCTTAAAGATAGGGGCACACCTAAGTATCTGCATGGGAATTCTGAAAGAGGGCAGGGCATCAGGTTTTGTATTGTAGCAATCTCCAATTCAGCACACCTGATAGGGATCACAGTACTTTTCTGCAGATTAGTCTTGAGCCCAGAAGCTTCACCGAACAGATTAAGAATATCCATGGTTGTAGTGATATCCCCAGACTCCGGGCGAAGAAAGAGGGCCACATCATCAGCATACATAGAGATGCGGTGCTGTAAACCACGAGATGACAGGGGTAGCAGCAAACCCTCACTGGTGGCCTTAGTAATCATATGCCCCAACACATCCATTATCAAGATAAAAAGCATGGGAGAGAGGGGGTCACCTTGCCGCAATCCTCAGCGATGATGAATAAGATCCCCAGGCACCCCATTTAAAAGCACTTGGGTTGAAGACGAGGAGAGCAGCCCACTGATGATATCTCTCCATAATTGGCCGAAACCAAGCTGCTACAGTACCTCTAGGAGGAAAGGCCACGACACAGAATCAAAGGCCTTGGAGATATCTAACTTGAGAAGAATCCGAGGCTGCTTTTGCTGATGAAGAAGCCTCGCCGTTTGCTGAACCAACATGAAGTTATCCTGTATGAATCGCCCTTTTATGAAGGCACTTTGAATCGGAGAGACCATTTGCTGTAGACGACCAGCAAGGCGATTAGCCATCATTTTTGTGATTAATTTGGCGAAGCTATGAACCAGACTTATGGGTCGAAAATCTTTAGGCTGATCAGCACCATCTTTTTTAGGGAGGAGAGTAATATAGGCTGAGTTGAGGACGCCCAAGTTCACAAACTTCCTGTTCCAAACTGCTGAAACTGCCAACATAATATCTTCCTTTATGATGGGCCAGCAAGCCTTATAGAAGCGACCTGTGAAGCCATCTGGCCCGGGAGCTTTGTCTGAAGGTAAGATTTTAATAGTATTCCACACTTCTTCCTCACTAAAAGGGAGTTCGAGATCAGCAAGGTCATGTGCAACAATTTGTAACTCATTTAAATTGATACTGTACTCCCTGTCAGGACAGCTACCCAGCAAATTTTCATAGAAATCATCAATAGCTGCAGCTTTATCCTCATGACTAGTGCAAATTTGCTCACCAAAAGGTGAAGAGTGACGAGATGGATTAGCTGGATTAGATGGATTATTACCCAGCTAATCCATCTCGTCACTCTTCACCTTTTGGTTTGGTTTGGTTTGTAGAATAGCATGGGTTGATCCACAACCGACCTCACCCTCATAAGCAGTTATTATTAGTATAAGCACGAGGAATGGAGAAATCCACCAAAATTCATGGAACGAACTCATGATGCACCACCTCATCTAGGATGCCATGGTAACTCCAACCAAACACCCTCTAACTCAGTCTCTTTGAGACTTGAATCTTAATCTTAATACCTAATTCTGGAAAGTATTGTGATACATTCCTGAGCTTGTCTCATGACTACTATTAGAGATTCAGAGTTGATGCGTTACTTGTACAGCCTTTGATTCGTATCACATCCAGTGTTCTTAAGGTGTTACCTAGCCATTGTCTAGGTGATGAGGCACACTCGCGGGGGCAAGGCTTCCCTGAAGCCTAGCCAAAGGGAGGGGAGGGACCAAGGAGAAGAAATTGACTGAGGGACAGTCATTGGCACATCTCTCCCTCCTCACACTGGAAGGGGTCGGTGGCAGACCTCCAATTGGATTTGGGGTGGGGGGGTAGAGGAAAAAATCATGGTTGGCGGGGCTGCAGTGGTGTTTGGGGTGACAGGGCTCAATGCAGCTTCATTTTGTCCCCCCTGTCTGATTCATTCATTTTTTATATGTTTTCTGCCAGATCAATCAGTTGGAGAAAGACAAAGATGTTATATCTCAATCGCAGGCAATATCTGTCCTGGAGAAATTACCTCAGCTGTCTTTTGCTGTGATTAATGCCCTCAATAATTTCCTAAATGACACAAAGGTATTTTAAGTTTCCAAAAATAATGCTTATTGAAATCTTATAATTCAAGGTTATTCAGTAACTGATTAGTTAAATCAGGCCTTCTGGAGAGTTAGAATTGAAGCAGCATATGCACTAGCTGTTACATCATCTGAGGTATGTTTCTTTAATGTTTGCTACTCTTTGTCAGCCATATTTTATTGCTTTCCGTATTCAGAGAGATTTCGGTTTCGAGATATCTGAATAACCAATACTTTACACATTGTTAGTTCGAGAAAAAAAAACTTTATGCATTGTTACTAGTTAACTATCTTCTGTATCGAAATTATTCTTTTGCGGAAAGGGCCTACCGAACTTGCTTGGGACAAATGTTTTACTTAAGGAGATTCATGGTATGAGTTGTCCAACAAAGTAGCTCCTCCTTCATTTGAAGAATTTTTGCATTTCCTAGTGGATTCTTAGTATTGTGACAGAAATCAAAGAGAAACAAAGCAGATGCGAAAGTATTGCACATAAAAGCTCTATCTGAAGTGGTACAGAATAAATGAAATAATAAAAAAAATAACAATATAAATAAAATTGAAAAGAATGTGTCAGGAAAGTCTCCTTGCTCTTGTATTTTGTTACCTTTTTTTTGCTGCTCCAGCAAGTCATTGATTGACATTACTGAAGCATATTAACATGCATTGCCTTGTAAATTTTATGTTGTGCTGTATGCATTTGTTTCACTCCGTTCAACAACAAAAGTGGGATATTTGGCAGATCTTACTTCTTACCGCTTTTCTAGCTCGCTTGGATGCATTCTATTTTACACAAGTATCTTACATGAGTTTATTTTGCTTCATTCAGGCAACTGATTTAGCTGGGTTGCTTCATCTGGTTAAGTTCTATAAAAGCCGCCGCTTTGATGCAGATATTGGAATGCCCAGGTCAAGATCTGCACTGTGCATAACTTGTTTTCCTTGTTGCAAGCTGTTGTGTATCATTGCTCCTTTTTTTGTTCTTAATAAGGTCAATTCAAGTATCCTTCTGTTTTACTTATAGGCCAAACGACTTTCATGATGTCCCAGAGTACTTTGTTCTTGAGGTAATGCTTTGAGGTAGGAATTGTTATGTGAGTACGCATGGCCAAATAATCTATAGAGCACTATTACAACATTTCATGTATTAGGAATTGTTTGTGTCAGTTTGTGATATGCACATTTGAATAAAACAATGTACAGCTCTTTTGGGTAATATAAGAATGGTGGGAAATGTTACAATGCATTTCTATAATCCATTATAGAATGCTGTGGCATTCAAATATAAAATGGCTGTTATTACACATTCTAGCAAGCCACCACTAGCCCTTTACATATCCAGATTGTTACGAGTACCTGTACTTTCAACTTGCAATACCATTCGGTTGTCTTTATTTTCTGAGTAAGATATGAAATACTTGAAATAATTAATGCAGTAGTTATTGAAATCAGTGCTCATATCATCACTCAGTCAAACTATACTATATATGGCTGAATTTTCAAGGCATTTATTTGCCTTAGAGTGTACATACCAGCTCACCTAGTGGCCTTATAATCTTTTATGTGACATTCCGTTAAATCTTTACTATTTATCTTTAAAGTAATTAGGAACTGAGCTGGCAAATGGAGATGTTCAACATGAGAGCGTCCAAATCTGATACACAAGGACATTTGTACTTTCTTTTTTGTTTCCTCAACCTTATGTTCGAGCATTTCATTGTTTGCAAAAGTAAACTTTGAGCAATTTGGATTTTCTTGCAGTTGATCGAGCTAGTAATTCAGTTACTGAAGCCATTATGGTTTGTAGCATACAAGCACTAATGAGATATAGTTTTTTTTTGTATGTTCCTTTTGTTAGGCAATCCCCCATGCAGTAGCTCTTGTTAGATCATCAGACAAGAATAGCCCAAAAGGAGCCATTGAGTTTATACTTCAGCTACTGAAGGTTCCTGCTGCTTTCTGTTTTACATTTTATTTACTTGTCATCTGTGGTCCTGTAACCATATTACTTATTTTTATAGACTATGGAGTAATTATTGTTCCTTTATTCATGATCATTTAGTGTATATGCTCATTGCTTTACTAATTCCCTAGGCAGAAATTACAATGTTTATGCTAATATGTTTTGCATATTTTGTGTCCCATTTTTTCAGTACAATGATAACAACGGAAATATTTACTCTGATGTGTACTGGCTATCTGCAATGGTCCTGGCAATAGGCGAACTGGAATTTGGCCAGCAGGTCTGTATGGATGCATATTATCTTGTAAAATATGACCTATATTTATTGTTAGATGCATTCCAACAAATCAGTTTATGCTTGGTGGGAACAAAATGATTTGATATGATTAGTTATGAACATACATGGTCGCCTTCATGGAATTAAGCTAGTCTGTGCAAGATAGAATTTCCGGGGTTAACTAGACTGAATTGTTTTGTACTCCTATTTGCTGGTCTAAAGCTAGTGCTTTATTCATTCAAAATGTGGAAATTTACAGTGGTGACTTGCCTGCATGATGTTAAGGCAATTGGTCTGATAAGAGTGGATCCTGTCCTGACCCAATCTTGTCAAAGTGGAGTAAATAAAACCATATATTTTTTTTGGGTTCTTACTGCCCATGCCTTTTAGATATTATGCTGCCTGATGCTCTTGTAGTGTTCTTCATGAATTTCATTTAAGGCATTTATGATTGTACACAAAATGAGATTGAGCTTTTCTGCAGGGCATGGGCTTCCTATCCTCCCTTCTCAAGCGAATTGATCGGCTCTTGCAATTTGACAAGTCTGTGGAGCTTCCCAACAAGTGTTATTTATTTAGATGTCATCTTGTTCTGAAAGTTGGTAATAATTGGCCTGAAAACCTTTGTGCAGCTTTATGCCTGGTTATAATGGGGTCTTGACTGTCAGCTGCATTCGAACCCTTGCACAAATAGCAAGGAGGGTGTCATCTTCTGTATGTCTTGTAAGAATGTTCATGTTCCCATCACTCTTCTCCACATCTTGTTCATAAGCTGTTGTGTTCTGCATTGTGCATATCACATTCATGCATAACTTCTCATTACTGCAGGACCGCATTTGTGAATTGATTGCCCCTTTCCGCGACATGGACAAACCATGGAAAGTTCGAATTGAAGCTAGCAGGGTTCTTATTGATCTTGAGTTACACCATAAAGGACTTGATGCAGCTCTTTTGTTGTTCTTGAATTATGTAGATGAAGAAAAGTCTTTGCGAGGTTGGATTGCTAGAATACTTTTAGCTTGTTTTGTATGCTTTGCTATCTTTTGACATGGAAGCTGTTGCAGGAGCAACAAAGTTGGCTGTTCATGTCTTGCGTATATGTCAAGCAAGTATTGTTCCTTACGCCAATGATCAAATAAATTTGACAACTCTAATCGGTCTTCTTCATCTGCTTGCTGGCACAAAAGCATACAATAACATATTTCTTCGTCATCATGTGTTCTGTATATTGCAAGTTGCCGCTGGAAGGTTAGCAAATTTGTTATTGCACATGTATTCATTATTTTCTTTCATCAATCACTTGTTATTGCATTGACCTTTGCATATCAACACACACACACACACACACATGGCTTTTTTTTTCTAATTCAACTATTGTACTGTTATGATTAACAATCTTTTTATTAAAATATTTCAAACATCAAAATGAAAAATGATTTCAGTTTGAAAACGGGAACATGAACTTGCATGCTTTTCTACTCAAGATTTTTAAGCACATGTATTCCACCATTGAGCTAACCATTCCCCCTGATTGGAATCATTCTGCTAACTGAATCCTTGACATTTGTACTGATTTTATCAGTTCCAGCATACACCCTGTAAGGACAATGTCCACCACCTCAATACACATGTATTCAAAGTACTTGGGAGATAGAAAATCACATATTTCAGTAGTATTCTCTCCGCCCAGAAAATAATGCAATTCTAGCACACTACCAAGTTAAAGTACCTTGAGTTTGACTAATTTGGTTAAACTTTAGATACTTCAATAAAGAATGCACCTAGAATTGCATTCTTTTTGAGACGGAGGTAGTCTCAATTTTGGGTTACGTATGACCCAACTAAAATAAATTTTCTCCATTTTTTACTTCCACCATGCCAAGCATGAGTCCATGTTGTTACTTTGTGCTATTTTTGCTCTCATATTGACATTTTCATTCAGGTCCCCAACATTATTTGGTGTTCCAAAGGTCGTCACACCCCCTCCGGTGGTCAAGGACATATGTAGTGATCAGCACACTAAAGCTGATTCCTCGATTCCTCAAACATCAAAGCCTCAGGAACTTTCCACTAGCACTCCTAGTGTCCGGGAGGTCTTACCTACCTCTGGACCCACTAAAGATGCTGATAATATATCTAACTGCAGTGAAAGAAGGAATGTGGTCAAAATTAGGGTGAAGCTTACTGCGTCTTCCAGTAAAGCATCTGATGCTGACCACAGAGGCCATTCTCATGGTGGAAGAAATGAAAATGAACTGGGTCCATGTAGCTCAATGTCAGTGGATGCCCCCATGGTTGGGGCAGCAAATGAACCATTAAATGTAAGCAACCATAACATTGAGGAACAGAACTCATGTCATGACCGTGAATCAAGGATGTCGGCAAGCGTTAGCAATGCTAAGCTAATGGACAGGCATGAGATTTCCAAGGAGCTACAGTGTACTGCTGATTCAAGGCTGGATGCCCTTCCCAAGGATCAGTTCTCTCCTGCCATTAATCCGCCAGAACTTTTAGACAAGCCTGGCAGTCAGCTTGAAGGTGTCTCCACCAGCTATGATGGAAACCAAGCTCCAGAATCTGTGAACGGAGTGGAAACGAAAGAGAGAAAGAAAAAAGACAAGAAAGATAAAAAGCGGAAACGTGATGAAAAACGAGATAAGAAAGATGACCCAGAGTATCTAGAGAAAAAGCGACTTAAGAAGGAGAAGAAGAAAATGGAGAAAGAGTTGGCCAGAAAGCAGCTAGAAGGTGAAGGAAGAGCTACCCCTGAACAGCGGAAAACAGTGAAACCTTCAGGTTCACAGGAAGTTTTGCCTGCAAGGCCACCAGCTCCAGTGCTAAGTGCTGAACCAGCTCCTGTCCTGAGCTCTGAACCTCAGGTATCAAGCAAGGAAACAACTGTAGATACTGCACGTACAGCAGCCAAACCAAGGATAAAGATCAGAGTCAAGCCCATGGTAAGAAAACCTGAAGGGAACTAAAAAAGATTGTAGAATTGTGGCCAGGCTGCCACCATCTGTACAGCAGGAAAAAATGCGGGTATGTTGTAGGTTGTACCATGAGTAGCCAGTTTTTTCGTGAATGGCTGATGTATCCTGTAAAAAAAACATTGCTCTGCCCTAGTAATTTCTGGGGTAATTGAAATCTGAGTTCTTGGGTAGTCCATGTTCTGTTTGTTGTTGCTTTATCATCTCAGCACTTGTTATCTCACAGGTTTGTAGTGTTTGTTCGATTTGCTGGGTCTAAAACTGAAGGTGAAGGATCGCTGTGCTCAATTTGTAGCTGTTGATGTGTTCATTTCAGATTTGAGAAGGCTTGATGGAATTAACTGCTGAATTTGCGCTAACATTCTCTCTCTTTGCTGTGCTCTATCCCATAGCAAGTGCTAATGTTTAAGCTTGTTACACTGGTTCTTTGTCATTTCCGCAGATTTTGCTGATGAGGTCACTACTGAGTGCGTGCTGATCAGCTGTTATGTTCTCTTTGCTCTGCGTTGCAACAGGTGATCTATGCTGGTTGCAGCGTCCACATCACACGATATAACATTGATCTGTACTGATCTTCATACTTTACAGCTGCAAAAAAACTTAACTGTCTGATGACGCTGACCGCGCCAGCCTTGCTCCTTGTTTGCCCCTATAATCGGAGGATTAAGGTACAATCCTTTGCATATTCTGAGAACAAGATATGAGGACTTGTTGAATTCTAGATTGATCTAGCTAGAGGATAATGAAAGCTACTGACGATGACTTGCAAGGCAGTGGTATATTCCTCGATCCACTGAGCATTTGTTCCTCTATAATGCGACACATATAAAGTTGCAATAGGCCTTGTTCGCTTGTCTTATAAGCCGTACTATTTCAGCGAACGAACAGTGTTTTTTTCTCACAACAAATCAGCGAACAGTACTTTCAGCCATGACTTTTCAGCAAAGCGAACATGGCCATAGTCGTTGTCCCGCTTTGCCAAATGCCAATAGGATTCCATGTCATTTCGGCTTTACTTGGGGTGTTTAGGCTGTTCGGTGTTATAACATCTTAGCATATTAAAAAGTTGAGTACTAAAAACCTGAATTAACATCTTAGCATATTAAAAAGTTGAGTACTAAAAACCTGAATTTGGACCATTTTCTCCGTACATGTTGAGCCGTCACAGCTTGCAACTGAGGTTGGCCATCTTTGGCACCCTATCTTGCACATAAAACCTTCAAAACAAAATTTTTATTACCAGCTCCATCTTTGAGTGTATTTTTAATCTGAAAATAGTGGCTGCAATTTTGGCACACCTTCCAGGCAATGGCGACCATCAGGGCATGGCCGCATCCCCATTACCGTAACTCACACCCACCAAGAATCTCCAAAGTAGAATCTCCATAATATGTGTTCTATCTCTCAGTATTATCATATATGAAAACAGTGGTTGGAGATCTAATTCCAGCGAACTTCCAAGCGGCGATAGCGGTGGTACCTGGAGATGACGGGAAGTGATGAGCAAAAAAAGCAAAGGGGGAAAAGAAGGGGAGGGGGGTGTTGCAAGGGCGCCAACACCAATAAATAATAAATAGTATTGGTTGTCTACGTATCTTGCGTGTGGATGTCTTCATTTTGAGTTAGGATCATGCTCAAAAAAATTTTGAGTTAGGATAAGTAATTGTTGAAGTGGATTTCTTTTAATCATACAAAACAAGATTAAGAGTGTGTTTACCAAATTGTTGGAGACGCTCTCAAACCGAGAGGGCTTCTTCATTTAGAGCAATGCCATGAAAAAGGTAGAGCATCTCCAAGAGCTTATTAGAATTAGAATAACTCTTTAATTTTTTTCTAGTAAAAAGATAACCATCCAATAGTTTTGTTTTTGAACTCTTTAAAGATCATTAATTGACAAATTCCTCTCCAAGCTAACCTAGGCGGTGGGTTTGAACCAAATAATGCAGGCTACCATATAAAGAAAAAAAAATTAACTCCCTAGTCAACCTCTGCACTTGTATAATCTATGATTTGACAAGTCTATTTTATGGAGCTCCTTGAGATGTGAGAGAAGAAAATGAAGAATACAGATGGGTCATCAACGTCTAAGAGAATCTCCAAAAGTTTCTTAAAACAACTCTCTAATTCACTTTTTTTTTTTTGCAAAAACAAGAAAGGAGTCCTCCAACAAATTTTTAAATAAGTTAAATCTCTCTGTCTATTTCTTAGATACGCACTTGCTATTCGTCCAAGCACCACCTCTCGTGTGGTTTTTACATGGTTTTTTCCCTCCACTCGGTTTTCAAGTTTTAGCCCCTTCCAATTTTCAAGTTTTAGCAAGCTAACTATTAAAAGCTACTTCCTATGTTCTATTTTATCTGGCGTAAGTTAGAATGGCACGGTCTCCTAGATTACACTTTGACCATTCATTTGAGTTATTCATAGAAAGTATGTTTATAAACATATAATCATTGGATAGTATAATTCCTTACAAATCTAATAATATAAAGTTTGTATTCATAGAAAGTTTATATTATAATAGTTAAAAATTATTAGCCTAATTACTGGTCAAAGTTTTAAAGTTTGAATCTTGATATGCGTGTGCGCCAGATAAAATGGAACAGAGTAGTATTGAAGAAGGCAAGAATATAGTTTCGTAATTTTATTTTATTCAAACAATCATTTGTTTATCAAGTGATTTTTAAAAAGCTTTTGGAGATAAAAATGACTCAGAGATCAACTTCATAAAATAGGTCCCTGGTTAGGATTTGAGAGCTTCCACTACTTTTAATTTTTGAGCCCAAATGAGCGCACCTATTTTCTAGGAGCCACCGGTCAGTTACATAGCTTTTATTCTTTTTTTATTTCTACTCACGTCTCGGTCTCTTGTGCGCCCTATGCTCTTATAGAAAATAGGACAAAACAACTCTATAAATAGAGTTCTTTTAAAAAAAAACTCCCTATGCACGAAGAGGTGAAGCAGGTAAAGCTATTATTTTTTGCTTCATCCCACCTTAAACCTCTGTGAGATCATGATTTATGGAGCTTTCTGAATGAAACCGTTTTATTTTATCCCGTTCTGAAACCGATGAAGATGCGGTGCCAAATAAGATATAATACACATAAGGATACGGAGAAGAGGAGTCGTTCCAAACAGCCAACAGATGGGCAGTAGGATCTTGTAGCCGTGGGCCCAGTCTGACAGTTACAAGATAGAGAGCCCAACGGACACCACATCACCCGAAAAGCCGAAACGAGCGGGGAGAAACGAGGCAACGGCCCACCGTCAGATCACACGCACTCCTCACACGCTCACATCGCACGTTCATGGCACGGGGAGTACCCGGCGACGCCGCGGGAAGTAGCGCCGCCGCCGAGCGGGGGAGTGGGGCAGCCGCGCCGCCGCGGTCTGCAACGTGGCAGCGGGTGCGGAGGGCCGGGCAGGGGGCGGCGGCGCACGCGCTACTTCTCTGCTTCACCGCGCTCCTCGCGCTCAAGCTCGACGGCGTCCTCTCGCTCTCCTGGTGGTAAGCTGTAATCATGTGCTCCTGCCCAGCAATCCAATCCATATGTGGGACTTTGCTAGCGCAAATGTTAGCGGCGACCCGCGTTTCGCTGCGCCGAGGGCCGTACCGGTTCGCTCGGAGAAATTGTGTATCGCTTGGGGTATCTAGTCTCATGTAGCCATGGAGGTTGTGAAACTTAGAGAGGGCACGGGAGGTGGATGGTGCGGGCATCCTAATTTATCACGCAGCTTTTTCCATTTGCGACATAGGAAATGATGCGTTGGTGATTTGACAAATTTCACGTGCAACTGAGTCACTGAACGAGGTGATTCTGAAATTCCTTCTGGGTAAATGAATTGGAAATTGGCTCTTGCATCCTGTCCTGAGTCAGGGTATGAAGAGACCTTCCATGATTGGAAATTTATAGGCTGTTTGGTTTGAGGAATGAGTTACTCATTCCTGGCTTTTTTTGTGTTTGGTCTGTGAAATGGAATGGGTTGATGCATCATCATCTCATTCTTCACAAGCTAATAATTAGTACTGGTACGGGGAATGGAGTCATTCCACCAAATTTGAAGAATGGACTCATGATGCACCACCTCATCTAGGATGGAGTGATTGCTCAAACCAAACAATCTGTTAGTTGTTTACCAGCCAAGAATTGCTTTGTACATTTGGTTTAACGATTAAGGTGCTGAGATTTTAGGTGACAGTAACTTCGGCAGACACAGTTTCATTACTTTCCTCAAACCAAAAGAAAACGTGAGGGATGAGAAGGTTATGGATCACCCCATCCCTCAAACCAAACACCCCATTAGTCTTGTGCGTGCAACTTGATGAAGAATCTGCAGACATGAATGTTGCAGGGTATGTCATAAAATTGCTAGAAACACTGAAACAGGTACAACACACATTTGATGTCAGTCTTTCATGTCTCAATATTGGAATTCTCAAAATAAGTACCAACACTGCAGGGTGCTTTTCATCCCTGTATGGTTGTTCCATGCTGTCGCTGCTCGATGTCTATTCTCGTTACCGGCTCCATCATCGCCTGAAAGTTGTCAAGTGTGTTTTCTACTTTTGCTTTCAAAGTCAATACCTTCTTTCTGAAGTTGGCTAGAAGCAGGTTAATTAGATCATTCAACTGTGCAGCGGGTTCCATTCCATTCCATTGTGGCAACACCATTGCTAGTTGCTTTTGAGCTGCTTCTCTGTGTTTATCTGGAAGGCCTCAACCACAATGGTGAATCCATTATGTACTGTGATTTATCACTTGTTTGTTTGTTTTCATTCTGAGTTGATTGTTTTTCACTTGCTGGCTCAATTGTTTGTTTTTCAGGTCATGTGGAACCTTTCATAGATTTAAAGCTTGTGTTTCTTCCCCTCTTGGCTTTAGAAATCATTACACTGGTTGACAACTTCAGGTAATCACATAAAACAAGTGGAAAAGTGCAAATTTCTTATACCAATAATAAGCATTGCATGACAACTTTTTGTCATATAATCATTTTATAGTTCCCCTTTTACTTTTTCTACATCAATAATCTAACCTATACAGTGTCATCCCAATCTGTAAGAAATTCTTCATATTCTGGAAATATAGCCTTTTCGTAATATATAAGGATCATGGTAATAGTCAGCGATCATTTTTCACTAGTAAGTTCAAATTTGTTGCTAGGATTTTTGTATACAAGAGTAACTACCAGAAAATTTTGCTATGGTGTGAACAATGAACCAGACATTTGAGGTGAACATTTATTGTTTGTCATTTGACAGGTCCTGCAAAGAATAATGTAAAAGACATACCTATTAGTTCATGCTTATTTGCACAATTTGTTTACTATTCCTTACTCTTTTTTGTTCTCATTAGGATGTGTGGTGCTTTAATGCCTGGACATGGAGAAACTATAACCGACGAAGCAATTTGGGAGAGGCTTCCTGTAAGATTTTTAAGACTTGCACTTGTAGCCCCTGAACGTTCAGTTTGTGGTAATCTGTTCTCTTCCAACAAGAACAAGAACAAAGCCTTTTAATCCCAAACAAGTTGGGGTAGGCTAGAGTTGAAACCCAACATGAGTCACCAACAAAAAGGGAAAAGAAAGATAGAAGAAAATAATATATAAGTAATCAGTAATAGTAATATTATTATAGGGGATCTAAAGGCTCTTCATGATCAGGCATGTGAATAGCTTCTTTACGTCTTCTTACATTATTGCCACACCTTAGGATTCCACTATGCATCAGTGCCTTTGGAGGTCTCTATTGGACATGTTCAAACCATTTGACTAGTCCTGGACAAGTTTTTCTTCAATTGATGCTAAAACCATTCACTTAAGTCTTATCCAGGAGTCTTCATAACAGAAGTTGCTGTCTCCAGTTTTTTTCCGTTTTAGTTCTAGCAACCAAATTTATGAAATACTAATATCTAATAATTGCGATTGTCTCTCTTAGTGGCATTGGAATATGGAGTTCTAATCAACCATTCATTTTATATTAGCATTATTTTGATTGATGTTTTATATTAAGGACCAGTTTGTGTCCTATTTTGTTTTGACTTTCTTGAATCTAGTTAGTTATGTGAATCTTACCAATGCTAGTGCCACCGTGCTGTCTGGCTCCAAAAAGTATATTTATGAAATGGCTATTGTATTCAAACATAGCAGTTGAATCTTGAAAGAACTAAAGTGTCAATGGATATCATACAGTACAACTACAGAATTTAGGAGAATGTAAGCAGCGGCAGAGCTTCAGTGAGGCCAGCATGGGCCATGCCGCCCCACGTCCTTCCCCCCTCAGTTTTTGCAAACTCCATTAGATGTATACATTGTTAGATAGCAAAGCTTTGGGAAAAATCAATCTATCTATTGCTCTGCCATTGAATGTAAGGCTACAGTTTTCTTTCTCCAAGCATTTTTTTTAACCCATGACTTGTTAGAGGTAGCACATTTGCAAATTGCAACAATGTGCCATTTGATCTGTTTTTATAATTTTTTACTGCATGATTCAACATGAAATTATATAACTATGTGTATATTGGATACCAGCAATAGCTATGCCTATATATGAATGATGCATTCCTTGAGACCTTTAATTAATGTAGATGAATAGATGCCTTATATGCAGACTAAACCTATAGCTATTACTAACAACTTCATCTTTTCATAGTACTTCTGGGTTGCAATTTCCATGGTATTTCTACTTGCGGCTACTTCACTCATGCTTCTGAAGTTATGTGGTAAGCTATATGAATACTATTGAGTTCAGAGCTGCTTTTCAGAAGTTCCAAAGTGAATGATGTGACTTGGTCTTTCTTTTCTCTTTTGCCTGAATGGCCTGAAAATTATATAGCTTACTTATTATCTTTTGCTGGAGTACTACAGAAAATTCTTGAGGATCCACTTGTTTATATTTTATTTTATGCCCTGTTAGAAATAACAAACGTTCCATGTAAGACTCATAGTGCTTAACTAGTACACTGGTATGTTTTGACTTCTTAAGTGACAGTTAAACTGTATGCACCAGGTGATGCAGTTACTCTGGGGTGGTGGGATTTATTAATTAATTTTGGGTAAATACTTTTTCTCCATTTGAAATCATGCTTGTAATGCTTGTAATCCCTTTGGACAGTTCTTATTAATTACTTGACATCTTTACAGGATTTCCCAGTGCTTTGCTTTTCTAGCATGCACAAGATGGTCAAATCCAATGGTCGGTAGACATTCAATCGTTTATAACAATAAATTCAATCTTACATGGACAGAGTGCATTCGGAACAGCAGTGTTCCATTTTTATCCAAAAAGGATGCTGACATAGGCTAACTGTGTGGTCTGCAGGACATTGGAGGTCCTGTATTGATAATTCCTATAGTAGTTTTTCAAGTTCTTCTTTGTATGCGCTTAGAGGTCTGTTCTCAGCTCCATTTCCAGATGCTTTATTTTCTTTTAATAAATACAGACTGTCTACTTTTCTCTGTTGTTATTTGGACATTGATAACTTGCACCTATTGCTGTATGTGTAGTGTATATAGACATTGTACCTTTTGAATTTGGAGCTGTCATATCCTTGTCTTGTGCATATTTCAGCTGCCTTTTTCTGTGAAAGAAACATTTTGAGTCAAGTCTTGGAGCTGCCTTTCATCACTGCCACACAGATTACAGTGAAGATTGTGTGCTAAATTACTAAGTATCATTCTTCTTTTTTAACCCAAATATGGTTTTGAATGTCTCAGTACAAGCTTGCTGCACATGCTGTCTGCGAATGCTAAACCGTACATCCATGAAACTCTTGCTTGTGTGCATTGCTAGTCTGAGTACCATTTGTATCTGATTGCAGGGCACTCCATCTAATGCACGTTTTATCCCAATTCGAGCTATTTTTCTACCCATAATTTTGCTGCAAGTGGCTGCTGTATCTTTTGCTGTTTGGAGATTCTTCAACAGGCTTCTTACTAAACTTAAAGATGGAACTATCAGTCAAGCAAATATTTCTGTGTCCTCCAAAGTTGATGAGCTATTTATGATGATACAATATGGTTCAAGGTTATTTTCTATGTAGCATTACTCTATTACCTCTGTTCAAATTGCATACCTACTGTAGGGGTTGTAGTTGGAATTCTCAGTTTATTAATCTTTATTCCTGATCAGGCTCCTTCACTGGTGGTCTATTGATGAAGATAGCAAAGAGGAACAGGCTCACTTATGCTATGCAAATAATATTGGGTATCCATTTCAGAATTCTGCTTAGTCGTTTAGAGCATAGACATTAGACATATTCATGGCATGTGTTGTTGCCTTAAAAAATCATGATGTATGTGGTTATTTTGGATGAGGGTTATAATCACTGAGCACTTTAGTTGGATCCTAATCATGATGCTACTTTTTGTATATGCCATGCATCATTGCAATCTAAATATATTAAAAACAGCAGTCTATGGATAAATTTGTAGACAACATATTTTTTGTTGTGACATGCTGCGTGCGTGGAGCTCACCATCTCAGCTTAAACATAAGGTGGCATATTGGTATGTGTTCCACTATTTTTTGTTTGCTTGGAGAGGGGGTAGAGGGGGTTACAGGATTAGGATTGAGCATCATGGTCTCATGGGGGAAGGAGACAGATCTTTTACTTGCAGAGAGAAGAAAGAAAAGGAACACAAGATCATTGTTTGAAAGATGTACTGTATAATTTAAAGCCCATACATAAATGTAAATTACATATGGGAGATCTCGCCTATGGTTAGGTGGCCCAAGATGTAGAAAGATAACTAAGAAGATTTCTTATGCTAATTGCTTTATTGAATAGAGCTAATAGTGACACTTTTGAAGTTGCAAATTGGTGTAAAGCCACTGTTTGATACTTCATCAGAGGGAGGGAAGGGGGGAGTTACTTCATATGCATTCTAAATACTTTTGGGTAGCTTAACACTTTCAATGACTAATCTCTTGTTTTGTTATCTGCAGCTATAGTACTTTTTGCAGTTATCCACCAGAGGTGGTAAAAGAGATGCCAAAGGAAGTTCTTGTCAAAGAGGTTATTTTTTCATACTTCTTGTAACAGCATCCTTGTTTATATGGAGCTAATAAATCATTTGTCCTCTTCTAGGTACAGAGACTTCAACTGGCCTTGGAAGAGCAAACTGAAATGGCAAATCATAGCCAACAGCAGTGTGATAGGCTAAGAAATGTACTATCTGCTATCCCCTTTTCCATCACACCAAAACATTCTTCACAATTTTCATGTATTCACTTACAGATCTCCAAACAGCTATCACCATCTGCATGCCATTATTGCTATTATTTGCCTTTTAGAGTTTTCAACAGTTTATTCAAAAGGCTGTACCATTGTCATACAGCATACAGAGATTGTTCATCTATTATCATCAAAGGGTTAATACACACTAAATGTTTCCGACTAATTTTTACTACAAACTTTGCCTGAACTAATCCTACCAGAATATTTGCATCAATGCAGGAAAGGATCTTGTGTCGAATTTGCTTTGAAAGAGACATATGCATTGTTATGCTTCCCTGCCGCCATCATGTTCTCTGCGAGTAAGCTTGAATGTTCATCCTGATATTTTGGTACATTCTGGATGCATTCTTGTCATCTATATATGCATGATAATTCTAAAGTTCTCCATTTGTTTCCCCTGCAGGCCCTGCTCTAACAAGTGTCAGTCATGCCCAATTTGCCGATTGACCGTTGAGAGCAGGTTATCTGTTTATGATGCAGTGATGTCAGCCAATCCATTATGTGACGCAGTTTAAAAGTTCACATGTTGACAGTAGTTGTAGGGTACCTACTTCTGGTGTTGGCAAAGATGGCCCACACCTGATTCCTGGCAGTGACGGACCGGTTGTGAAATTCTTGGTATGAAATTTGGAAGGAAGCTAGGAAAGTCTCCTATTGTCAGATTGCAGCACAAGAAAAACAAAAGCCACGATGCACATCCGTCTGCAGTGATATGACACAGAGGAAGATGAAGTATATGGATTCTTGCTCATATATATGGTCAGCGCGAATAACCACTTAAATAACTGAGTTTGTTCTCTAGCCATATATGACATCTGGCCAGTTTCGATTAGTTCCCAAGCGAGTTCTGGTTAACAGCTGGATGGGAAACCTTGCAAACATGTGTAACTGGAGCTTCAGATTGTTTTAGATATTCTTTGGAGTTCAGCAAAGCGGCAATATCCCACTGTTCAACTATGATGAATCCATGAAATCACACAACAGTGGCACCACCTTTTCCAGTGGAGTTCTCTACCTGTAAACGGCTTACCATCTGTACAGTTGCAACAATAATGTCTCAATCAATTTTATCTCCAAGGTATAAGAGCATTGAGCTTTCTCCTAGTCATGTCAAATTATGAGATAGCATGAGCATCTATTATATGCGCTTGTCGACCTCGTGTGCCTTTTCTCCACCACATACCAGAACATCACTTTGCAGTACGAGAATTGGCTCTCAAGTCAACATTTGTGGCCAGCCACAACCTTGCACTTTTGTCACATTGCTATGATTTCGCATACCTTGCGGCCTGCAATCCTCCGGTAGTTTATTGGAGCTCTCTGCCTAGCGTGGAAGGCATCCAAGATTGTGTGCTAGTGCCGGTATTTGCCAAGAATTTGCTAGGTGCATGCTCCACATGATTCGTGAGGACTTGTCAATCCAGTTTTGTCATCCTTACCATGTTATGGCTTCATGCCTTCATGTGTAGGTCACCTTTGTTGATATGCCCTGCTTTTGCTACATCAATGTTGAAAGCATCTAGGTCCTTAGTTGGGTTTCGGTGATTAATGATAGTATGAGATTACTATGACTAACGTGTGTTTTGCAGAGGCAATTAAGTTAGGTCATGGTAATGACAATTGATTGTGCAATCATGGTTGTCATGCCCCTACGATGAAAATCGTTTCGATTTTCAAAGGATGGACGATAATGTTAAGGATGGACTAGTTCTAAGTGTCGTTTGGTGTTGAAGGGACACTTAGAGTAGTTTATGACTTTGTTTTTCCTTTGGCCGTACTATTAAAGGGGTATGGACTAGTAGCTTGACCTAGGTGAGTCTAGTGGGTTAGGTGTGGTGCACACTTGTCAAATCTAGTAGTAGGTAGCTCAGGAGTAGCCCTTAGATCAATTGGAGCAAACTTCATTCACATATGATTTCGAGTTGGAAGTGAATGGAGGGTCAAATGACTGATCAGAAGCTGGTCTGGTTGCGACCGGACTCTGAAGGGTGAGTTCGGTCAGTTCATTTGATCAACTGGAGCCGTCTGGTTGTGACTGGACGCTGAGTGAAAAGTGACTGGACGCTGGGTTCCTGCGTCCGATCAACTCCAGAGAGGTTCCAGAGAGGGAGTTTCCTGATCGGACGCGTTCGATCGATCTTGACGGACGTTGGACGGGATCCGAGCATTGGCCGGACGCCTGAGCAATGAAGTGACCGAACTCGGGTGTCGCCGTCCGGCCAACATCGAGAAGGTTTCAGAGAGCGTTTTTTCATGACCGGACGTGTCCGGTCAAGTCTTGACGGACGCAGTCGAGTCCAGTCTAAACAATAACTACTGTGGCGGGGATAATCGCGGCCGGGCGTCCGGTCCTATGACCGGAGAGTGGCGGTCACCCCACAGAGTGCTGACTCAACCTCCTAACGGTTCGTTTTGAATGAGGGGGTATAAATACTTCCTCTATTCATCCAAGGGAGGTCTCTTGCCCATTTGTTCAGCTGAAAAACACCCTTGAGAGTGCTAAGGAGAGCAAGAGCCTAGTGAGATGATTGAGATTTGAGAATCCAAGATTAGTGCAAGGAAAGTAGCAAGTGTGCATCCACCCTTCTCATTAGGCTTGTCGTGGTCAAGTGAGGGTTTGTGCTCGTTACTCTTGGTGATCGCCATCACCTAGACGGCTTGGTGGTGATTGGGAGTTTGGTGATCATTCGGCGAAGCTTGTGGATGACCCAACTTAAGTTGTAAGCGGTTGTGGGTGATTCACCGTGACGGAGTGTCAAAAAATCAGCCCGTAGAAAGCACTTGATCCTTACGCGGATCAAGGAGGAGCTACACCCTTGCGCGGGTGCTCCAACGAGGACTAATAGGGAGTGGCGACTCTCCGATACCTCGGCAAAACATCGCCGTGTTCTTTTTCCTCTCTTTACTTTAAGTATTTACATTTGAACAATTCATTTCTTGTCTTTATATTCTTAGAATTGCCATGCTAGAGTAGGATTGGAACCTAGAGTGCAAAATTTTTGTGCGGTAGAACAATAGGAACACATTTTAGGCATAAGGGGTGAAGTGGGCTAAGTGTAGGATTTAATTATTACAAAAAATTTTAGAATTAGCACAATTCACCCCATCTCTTGGGCATCTTGATCATTTCAATTGGTATCAGAGCCTCATGCTTATGAATTTAGGCTTAACCGCCTAGAGAAAGATGTTCCACGGGGACGGACCTCCTTCTATCTTTGAGGGAGATGATTTTTCTTATTGGAAAATCCGCATGGAGGCTTACTTAGAAGCTCTAGTTGTTGGAATTCTTAGAGCCGTCTCTCAAGATTTTCCAAAAAACCTAAGGATCCCACACACCTTCAAGGCGATGAAGTCAATTATGAGAAATGGAATGCAAATGCTAGAAACACCATATTTAGAGGCCTTTGCAAAGCTTGTGTTTAATCATGTGCGGAACCACAAGGACGCCCATGCACTATGGTCGGACATTTATGCGCTCCATGAGGGAACAAAGAGTGAGTGAGGAACGCTATCATCTTGTCATGAAAAAGCTTAATTTTTTTAAGATGCTTTCTAAAGAAAGTGCTAATGAGATGTACTCACGCTTAAATGTTCTTGTAGAGGAAGTCAAAGGGCTTGGACTTACACAAATGCAACCATTCGATGTTGTAAGAAAGATCTTGAATATCCTCTCCATTGACAAATATGGGCACATTGTGACCGTGCTTTATTAAGGTGATCTTTCCACCGCTACCTCAACTCAAATATTAGGAAAGATCAACGTACATGAGATGTATATGCACATCACACCACAAAGATGGCTCTTCTTCCACCAAGAAGAAAGACTTGGCATTCAAGGCTAGCCAAGAGAAGGGTAAAGCAAGAATTGAATATGAAAGCTCAAGTGATGATGAAATTGATGATGCAAGCCTTACTCTCATGGTGAGAAGAACCGCCAAGATGCTTAAGAAGCTCAACAAGAACGGTGTCAAGTTTGACGGCAAAAAGAAGTTATTCACTAGCAATAGAAGGAAGTCAATCTCAAAGATGGATTACTATAATTGTGAAGAACTTGGTTATCTCGCACATCAATGCCCCAAGCCAAAGAAAGACAAATACAAGAAGTATAAGGGCAAGAAAGATGACTCAAGCAATGAAGATGATGATGAGAAGAAGAAAAATAAGCCATACAAGAAGAAGGATGGCAAGAAAAAGGATTTCCACAAGAAGAAGAAAAATGGCAAGGCATAAATTGTCGGTGATTGGCTCACGGATATTGATTCATCAAGTTGCTCATCCGATGATGATAGTGAGAACGAGAAGGTGACCGCTATTGTGATTGACTCTTCACTATCTTCACCGACACCACCGTTATCATCCTCTACACACCTATGCCTTGTGACCAAGGGTGAACGAAAGGTATAAAGTGATGATGAAAGTAGTGGTGATGATCATGCTAGCAATGATGAAAGTGATAGTGATGATGAATTTGAATCACCTTCTTATGATGATCTTGTCAAGTTGCTTAACCAATATACTAAGATCATTAGAAAGACAAGAGCTAAAAATAAAAAGCTAGAACTTAAGAATGACTCACTTTTAGCTAAATGTGACATAGCGGAAAATGCTAGTGTTGAGCTTAGAGAAGCAAATGAAGTTATGTCATCCAAACTCAAGGAGCTCAAATCTTCTAAGAAAGAGTTTAAAGAAAAACATGATAAACTTGAGGGGATACATAATGAGCTCATCACTAGCTACAATATGCTAAAAGAAGAATATACAAATCTCAAGATTAATCATGATAATCTTGTTGTCTCTCATGAGTTTTTATCCAATGAGCCACATGATGCTACTAACCATGTTGTTAAGGTTGATATAGCTACATCATGTGATGATTTGATTATTGAGAGCATTGAGTAAGGTTCTAGTATGTCAAGATCAAGAATGAGAATGAGAAGCTAAAGAAAGATCTTGAAAAGCTTTCAACCACCAACACCATTGTGATAGAGAACCTTGACCATGATAGTGATCTAGCTCTTGAGAATGAGAAGCTTAAAAAAGAGAACAAGAGGCTCAAGAAGGAGAAAAATCATGATGAGCTAAAAGAAGAGAACAAGAAGCTCAAGCTAGAAAAAGAACATCTCAAGACCGAGTTAAGCAAATTCACAAGAGGCCAACATCTTCAAAGTGAGCTACTCATGAACACCGTCGTGAAGATGGATAGAAGTGGAATTGGATACTTGGCACATCAAGAGAAGAAGGCTCAAGCTCAATACCAACAACAACATAAGTCAAAGCCAAAGCCAAAAAGGTGTTTTGAGTGTGGACAAGAAGGTCACTTTACCCATGAGTGTCAAACTCCACCACCACAACCCTTGTCCAAGCATGATAGACCTTTTGCTTTCAATGCTCATTACATGCTTAGAAAAGACTCTAGTGGTAAAATAAAAGTCATGTTCTTAGGACATCCCAACAAGAATAGGTCTAAGAAAATTTGAATTGTAAAGTCACTTGTTGAGAAAGTCAAGGGTCCTCA